GTGTCATTGGCCGAGGGTGCACAAAAGTTGCCACGGCCAAGTATGGACCGTGGCATTGAAATCGCGGCATGTTTAACTTAGTCATCCTGGACTGTCTGGACCATCTCGCATTCCGGAGAGTGTAACTTCTTGGAGACCTGTCCGAATTGAGTGATTCCGGTTGCAGAAGACAGAGGACTCATTTATCTCCAACTTTGATGAAGGAAGTTTCAGTGCTTGGGAAGTGTAAGGTTTCCTGGAGGGCATATCTTTGAAGTGCATTTACACGACCAGAGAGAGGCGTCTAAACATGTGTCCATTCCGGAGACCGTATCTTTCTGCTCAAAGATCCGAATTGACTGATCTCGGATGTTCTGGAAAGAAGACTCAAATGTCTCTGATTCTCATGAAGGCCCCGGAAACTGAATCGGCTTGGAAGTGCACCGTCCTTCGCATCCTTCAAAACTGATCTGCTCGGTTCGGAATACCTGCGAGACAAGGGTTCCTTCCGACGAGCTTATCTCTCTGCTCACGCGTCCGAATTCCACGATTCCACTTGCTATGAGACCGTGCTCCAATGCTCTCCAACTTCTATTAAGGACCCGCCGTCTGAATCGGACCGGAAGGCTCCCCGGACAGGCGATTTCTGAGACTCGTTCAAACCCGGAGATTTTGGCCGATACACTTCGTTCGCGGTACATGGAAATGGCCGGTAAAGCTTCCCGCGGTACATGAAAATGGCCGGTAAAACCTTCCTGGCCAGCGAGAATGGCCGATAATCTCCCAAGACCCAATTTTTCCACTTTTTCAAGCTTTGCTCACCATTCCACCTCCTGGATTCATCTTTTCAGCTCCATATTCACCTGATAGACACTCAAAACATGCAAAGACTCATTGGGACCTAATGCATCTCCTAAGTTCTAAAACAAACCCTAAGGACCTAAAATGCATGAAATAAAACATGATTTGGAATGATTTATGCAACCTAAATGATGCAAATTATGAACATATCACTCGTCCAGATTTTTTATTTTTTCTTCGTTTACGACGAAGTCTAACGACTGATGTAAGGCATCCTGAATTGTTTGCGGCGTGTTGAGGGTCATCTCCCGTCGAAATTCGGATTTGTACCAAAAAGATCGCTTCAGAGCCTCGAGCGCAGCCTTGTCGCTTATTCCTTCTACTTTTGACAAACCGTCTTGAATCTTGCCATGTAGTCCTGCAGCGGTTCGTTTGGTCCTAGGGATAGTGTCCATAGGTCGGCGTCAGAGGTTCTTTGATCCATGAACATCGAATACTGCTTGAGGAACAAAGCGGAAAGCTGTTGGAAGCTGCTGATTGAGTTACGCTCCTGTCTCGAAAACCATTCCAGTGCGGCTCCTTTGAGATGCTCTACGAATAGCAGATAATAACCGGCGTCTTTCTATTGCTCGGTCAGATTGGCAGCATTCCTTGTGAAGGCTTGTCCCATTGCTATCCGAAATGTTGTGATGTGCGCCTTCGGGTCGGTAGTGCCTTCGTAGAATGGGATTCTAACTTTCTCAGGTTCGGGAATCTTAGCCTCTGTGATTCTTGTTGTGAACGGTGTTCTCAGGGTCTCTTCGAGAATTTGATCAATCTCTGGCGCGGTGCTTGTCGCGTTATGCACTTCAGATTTCATGGCGCGTATCTCGGCCACTATCCGAGCCATTGAGGCTTGCAGTTCGTAGATCTCGAGGGTTTGCGCGCCGATCATTCTCTTAGATTGGCGAAGTCGCTCCTGATCTTCTCTCCTTGGCTCGTCTTCGTACTTTGCCTGCTCGACCCATTGGAGATTTTCCTCTTCCTCAGTTGGGTAGTTGTCGCAAACCAGGTCGGTGATTTCGTAAGCTTGAATGTCGTTTAGTGCCGAGGCGAGCTCTTCTTGACTTATCCGCCGAGCCGAGCCGTTTTGTTGCGAGTTCCTGGTTCCGTCGTTTTGTTGGGCGTCCACATCGATCACGTCGTTCTCCTCTTCGTTGCCTCGTCGCCTTGAATTACGACGAAGCAGAGGCAGTTCGGTCATGTTGATTCAGGTTGCTGCAGGAGTTTGTTCACCGAGGGGACAAAACGTTGGCAGAGCCATGGGATTTCTTGTGCCGCTACCCGAGGCTCCTGCAGGTGTTGAGAAATCGAAGCGTCTTCTAACTCCATCTATCGGATCAGAGATTCTGGCTCTCCAAGTTGGGTGTCGTCTCTCAGTCGTTATCGCGTCGAGTCTTTCCGTAATCGCCTCATTCCTCTTATCATGCTCGTCCATTTTCTTCATCAATGCAGCCATCATGTTTTGCATCTCCTCTTGGGTTTCAGTTGTCACTGTTGTCATGCCCGATGGTGGATCGTCCTTCTCTGCGCCGTTGTTGTTGTTGTTGTTGTTCTCGTCATCGGAGGTGTTGCTCGCCATGTTCTTCAGATCTTAAAGTCTTGTCGATTTTAGAGTAAGAAAATTTTGATTCCCCACAGACGGCGCCAAATTGTGTGAGCCAAAACTCGCACAACCAAAAATTTGTTTAGGAAAACTTAAGGGATCCGAAATTTCTAGGGTTTATCGCAAGAACTGTAAGATTTAAATAAGGTTTTTATTGCTGTGAAAGTGTTTAAGTCTTAGTGCTCTCGAGTTGTGAAAAGTTGCATAATGAATCGTATACATCGTCTATTTATACTAATTCTCTAAACCGCCTAGCCGAGAATCTCGAGAGAGATTTTCGGAATATTTCCTTATCGCCTCGTGCGGCCACCGTCATAGCACTTCGCCTAGGGTTTTTATGGGCTTACGTCATTTATGAATTAGGTTTGGCCCATCTGAGAAAATACAGCTTGGCCCAATCAGAGAGGGAAGTGGCTCGGCCCATTCTCCTTCTTGCACGGCTCGGCCCATTCTTTCTTCTGCGCAGCTCGGTCCACATTACTTCGCGGCTCGATCCATGCCGCTTCCAGGGCTCGGCTCGTACCATTTCAGGGCTCGGCCCATCCTGCTTCATAGATGGGCTCGGATTGCTTCTTTACAGAGTTCGAATTCGCAGATATCTTCTGACACTTAGTCACTCTGAGATGGTTAATTCAGCCGGGTGGAAACCGACCCCAACATCACTGGTGGGGACGTAGTCGGCAGCGAGAATTCTTTTCGGTAGTTCGAGATCTGCTATTAAACCTGCAACAAAATCTATAAGCTTACATCCCTAATTTAAAGAAATTAATTACAATAGAAAAGATAACTACACATACCTATTCACCGATAACTAGAGGAAACACTGGCTTGGCCCCGTCGAAGATTAAAATTTCTAGAGTAGATTTGCAGGAAAGAGAAAAGAATGAAAGATGAAGACAAAGATATCGCTCCTGAATTAAAGAGAAGAATTAGTTAGAGGCGATATGCCCTAAGCAAATATCTGTGTTGCAGACACTGTTCTCTGTTTGTTTAATTATTTACTCTTCCCTTTTTTATTGTTATGTATTGATTGCTGCAAACGGTTGCATGTAGTAGCGATATAATCTTTTACTGACACATTTTCGTCTTTAATGGACTCCATTCAATGAGAGAGAAGGGAGATGAAAAGAAGAAAGGATTAGGGGTTTTTTGGTACTTTCCTGCTCAATAATGTCGCTTGAATAGTGGAATTCAGGGAGAGTTAGTTTTGGTATTATCTTTTGGTATTATCTTTTAGTATATAATGATATTACTCTAATAAAAATTATCATTCAAAATATCTGGTTAAATGAAATTAAGACCTATAGTAACAAATACTATTTGTTTGTGTGTATCAATATAAACTAAACTGTTTGCTAAAATAATGTAAAGTAAACTTATTAGGACATTATTAGACAACATTTAAAATAAATAGATGATCACTGTTTTTTTTTTTCAAAAACTGAAGTTATGTATGCATGATATTATTGTGCTGAATGAAAATTGTGGAAAGAGAGATCATACTTATAGGGAGAGAAACTTAATAAATTTTCAGATTGATGATGATGTTAATGATAACTTGAAAACATGCACAATCATTTTTTTAATTCTTGTCGAGTGAAATGAATTCATATAAAATTGTAAAAATATGAAAACATGCAACACACATATGCGCATTCAAAAGAAAAGAAAAACGAATTTACTAAGAATTACTAAAAATCTACAAAAAGCAACAATACACAATCACAAATATCATTTGAAAGAAAAAGATTCTCGACAACCGTTTAATGTTTCAAAAGCCTAATTTTTGTTGGAGTTTATAACTGTCCAAAACTCAACTTTGAACCGCTTAAATCAACTTCTAACCAGTTATTTTTAACTTATTTTAACAATAGTTTTTAAATGCTTTTTTTCTAACTACTTGTAAGCTCTGAATCATGGTGGACAACCAAGCCGCTCAAATGCTACCAATCAGCAAAACCATTTGAAAACAATGTTTAAAACCATAGTTTAAACAAACGTTTGAAATAAATAGTTGGAGGATGAGTAGAACGATTAAAGATTAAATTTCTAGCGGTTACAAACAGCAAAAAACGAGTATTTAGAGCAAACAAGCGATTGTAGCCAAATCTTTCTTAAAAAGCTATTTTTAAATGATATTTATAGTTTTGTAATTCTTTTTTTTTTAGATTATTATTGATACATAATAAAATAATTTGGTATTTAATTTTCTGTGTGAGTCTATGTTTAGTTTTTCTTTTGTAATCTTCTTACTCAATTCATTCGACAAGAAAATCAGAAAATGATTGTGCGTCTATTCAATTCATTTGACAAAAAGAATTAGGAAATGATTGTGTATGTTTTCAGAGTTATTAAACCAGGAAATATTATTTAACCTTTGTAATGTTATCAATCAAATTTAATATTAAATTGTCTTTGGTTACTAAACCGTTATTTCTAATCGCTTTTTCAGCTACTTTTACAACCGCTTGTTTTAAATGTTGTCACCAATCAGTCCATTAATGATTAATGATTGGTAGCATTTGAGCAATTTGTTTGCAACCACGATAGTTAAATGCAACCTATCTGACCTAATGTACACAGTCTCTGCAAAGATATACGGTTGTTGTAACACTCCTATCCAAGGCTTCCTAAAAAACCGGAGAATCGGGCATGTTAGGACCCCAGTCCATTGGTGAGCCTCAGGTCTGCCTGGTTCGAAAATACCCAGGTATCAATCAACAACATAGACATAGCTGATCTACCTGAAAATAAAACAAGAAAGGAGGAGGAGTGAGTAATTTGTGATTACTCAGCGAGAATGGACCTTAAGGAGGCCCAACCATCTAACAAACATGAACATAGCAGATAGACTAATCCTAAATCAAGTTAGCAACCAAGGGTAACCCTACAAACAACTACCAAGTTGCAGAAAAACCTTAACCCATTGAGGGAAGCATCACCGTTTTATCAACAATGTTACTCCACCCACCCAATCACAAGAGAAAGGGGTCACCCAATCATCACAGAAAGGGATCTCAATAAGTAAGGTCACTCTGTCTCCCAATCACCACAGAAAGAGACACTCCAACCACAATAGAAAGGGTTACAGGCGGTCACACAGACAGGCCTGGGTCACATAGACTATGGAAGGATCATTGTACCTTCCTTCACCATTGAGCTAGTGCCACGGTCACACAAACGAGACTAACTCAGCAAGCAACACCAACAGGTCACAACAGAAAGGTCGGGACCCACCAGTTCTATATCACACAACCTAATCTATCTCAAACAGGGCAGTTCCAGACCAAACACAACCAATCCATGTTTTAGGGTTCCATACATTTAGATCCATATTCGGGTTCATTATTTAATATTCCACCAGAAACTATCAATCATCAACACAAAATCAACAAGGATCCAAGTCCTAGCAATCTAAAACCCTAACAAGCAGATCTAGTACTTGGCCTAAGAAAATTCTAACTACCATAAACATGAATGAGAGAGAGGGTGAAGCATGAAGTCCTCACCTTGGCACAGAAGGCTGCGAGACGGGAGGAGGAGAAGGCATGGGGGATGGAATGCGAAGCGAAGATCCATCATCGCTGGATCCAAATTCGAAGGGAGGAGGAGAAGGAGGTGCAGACATCTTAGAAGGAAGGAAGAAGTTTCGACTGGAAAGAGAGAGAAGAGATCTGAGCAAGGATGAGAGAAGGAGAATGAGAGAGAGAAGAGATCTGAATACCCGACGTGCGATTGGCGATAACTATCGGTACCGACCACCGATTAGGACGAGCTTGAACTTACTGGAAAGCTTACTCCTGGGGCTTCAATTTAATATGCTGTGAGTCGTGTGGTTCGTCATGGTTCGCCAGGAAATTGCCTTGGAAGTCAATGGCGGATTAGAAGGAGATGGTGACGAAAAAGAGAGAGAAGGAAGAGAGGCTAAGATTTCTCTGATTTAGGTTATAGAAATATTAGTGAGAGATCAGGGTATTTATAGTTATGTTAATTTAATTGGGCTGCGCTTAATGGGCTAATAGAAGATTAAAAAAGATTAAGAATGAACTTAATTAAGAGAGATTGTCTAATTTAAATGAACTGGAAATTGAATTTTCTAACAACCGACTCCGAGAGTTCGGGTTGTTACAATCTTTTCCCTTCAACAGGATTCGTCCCCGAATCCTAAAGGAGAAGTTCCTGAAAGGAATTTCAAAATCAGAACCAAGAAAAATAAAAGCACAAAAGACAAAAAGAGGAAGCTTTGTCGCAGGAGGAGAGAAAAAGATTTCAGAAATGGATTCACATGGGTCGGGCGCCAAAAGAGGAGGAAGCTCAGGTATAAGATCATAAAATGATGGAAGGATTTAGAGGAGGAAGCATGATGTAGAAGTAACACTTTTAATAAACACAAAACCATTTCTTTATTAAAGTAAAAGAGGAGTCGAACATTTTTTTTTTGAAAAGGAAAAATGAAAAGAACACAAGCATAAAATTCTAACCAATTTTTAAGAAACTTAAAAGCAATCAGTCAAACAATTAAAAATAGAGTTATACTCCTATGAATACATTTTATTTTCTAATCACTAACACAAGCTCTGGACAGATCTTTTTTGATGATGCAATCTGATAAGATGGTGCTGATAGATCCTCTTGGTCTGTTTCATCTCATGCGCGACTGGATCCTTAAACTTGAGAAAATAAAATAAAAAAAGAAGAAAAGGAAAATGATATAAAAAAACATCTATTCGATCAGCGTTTATAAGTTGATTGCTTTAGGTTTAAAATATTATATAGTAAAAATAATTTTAAAAATAAGATATGTTTCTTTTGCAAACATTTTTTTTTTTAAACATAAAGATGCGATCTCCTAGGACAGAGCTAGAAAATCTCTCTAGACTCTGATACCAATTTTAACATGTCCGATTCTTTGGTTTTTTAAAAAGTTTGGGATAAGAATGTTAAGGTTGTGGTCTTGGTGAACTTCCAGATTTCAAGAACAACAAATTCACTGACACGAAGAGTAGTAGTGTCGACGAGTTAACTCATTGGATAGCAATAAAGGAAAACCTTAACTGAACCTAAACCGAATCCGAGCGGCCGAGCCAACTCGTTCGACTCTCAAGTTGGTGGAAAGTGAAAACATTTAATGATAATATATTAATATCTAATTAAATTGAAAATCAGAAAAATTGGATCACTACGAAACGAACCCCACCGAAGCAAAAAATAATGTCCGGCGGCAAGGATTAATGATGATTTTGGTCTCTGTCTCCTTCGGATCATTCTCACAGAATATGCCCTTTTGCCTCGTCAAACTCTTCCGTTAAACCATTCTCTTCTTTCTTCTTCATTTGAATTTGCTTCTCTCTGGTTTTTAAAGGTTTGATTCCACCGAAATATGATTGATCGATCCGTATGATCAAAACCAAGTTTCCCCTAATCTGGGTTTTCAAGATCGTTCCTGATCTTTCGACAAATCGTTTGACTTTTTCCGAATCTGGTTTTTTTTCTCTTCATAGAAAATGAACGCCGTCGTTAGAATCGGGAGCTACATCTACCGAGGCGTAGGAACGGTTTCGGGTCCGTTCCATCCATTCGGTGGGGCGATCGACATTATCGTCGTCGAGCAACCAGACGGGACGTTCAAGTCGTCTCCTTGGTACGTCCGGTTCGGGAAATTTCAAGGGGTTTTGAAGAACAGACAGAATCTGATCAAGATCGATGTCAATGGTGTTGATTCGGGTTTCAACATGTACTTGGCTCATACAGGGCAAGCTTATTTCCTCAGGGAAGTTGAAGATGTGATTGGGGAGTCAGAGAGTGGTGAAGTTTACACTTTGTCTTCTGGTGATGAAGCTGAAAAGAGTTGTGTTGATGATGTTGATAAGATTAAGATACCGTTGAAGTCTAGGAGCTGTAACTATGATTCCGCTAGCCCTCGTGGTGGTAATGGGAAGATTGTAGGTAAGCCTGGGATTCTAGGGTTTGTGTTTGGAGGTAGATCGGTTAGGGAGAGTAGCAGGCCTGATGAAGTTACCTCCATGGAGAGAGCTGAGATTGCTGCTGATCTGTTGGATGTTAAGTGGTCTACTAATATCGATACGCGTAAGCCCATCAAAGCTTCGGTGTCTTTGGACGGTGAGACTAGTGGCAGAGAGAGTTTTGTTGTGGATGGAATAAAGAAGGGAGGCTCGGAGAGGTTAGTAGATAGCGATTCTATATTGGAAACTCCTCTTGTTGCGTCTCCTACATTGCGATATCTCGACGAAAAAGAGCAGGATTTACGCGAAAAAAGCAACAATGTGGAAGAGTATTGTGAAGAGAATGCACTTCTTGTTGAAAATGGTTCATGTGAAGCGTCGAGTACTAGTGAAGGGAGCGGAAAATTAGACGTCTGTGGCGAATCTGTGACTGTAGAGACAACAAACGAGCCACTAGCACAGGTTAGTCGTTTATTCAGTCTCATTTTCTCGGCAATGGTAGACTAATAGCGTAGGAAGTATGGGACTGATGTCTTGTATAAATTGTATCTATGCTAGGATTCTTTTACGGGATGCGAGTTGGATTCTAAGCAAGAGTTAAGTGCTCCCGAATCTGTGGGAAATGTAATATTGGATTTGGGGAGCATTAGTGTTTCACAAGAAGGAAGCAGCACTGGCTCTCCAGTTCAAGATGAAAATAAAATCAACATGGAAGATATGCATTTCTCAGAAGAGGGTTTTGAAAAGTCTCAGTCAACAGGTGGAGCAAGAATCTTGCAACCAGAGATTGAAGAAGAACAATTTTCCTTTAGCGATCTTGACGAATGTAAACCTGGTGGGAGTAGTTCTGGAGAAGGGTCAAGTTTTCCTGATACAGTAAAAGTTGATGGGATAGAGATTTGTGATGAAAATGGAATTAGTCATGTAAACGGTGTGGAAAACTCTAGGGCCTTCTCAGTGGCGATTGATATAGAGAGAAAAAAGGAAATCTCTGGAGAAGAGATGGAGCGGTTGGTAGAATCATTACCGATTATGCGGCTTCACAACAACGGCGATATGGATGCGAGTACTTGTCAGTCTTTGAGCCAGTCATTTGACCCATGTTCCAATGCTTTAAAGTGGGATTTGAGAGAAGATGAGTCGAGCTCAGGGGGTTTAGATGCTGAAAAAGTTTCTGAGGGTAGCCCACACTTAAAGGCATTCAAACATGTACTCGCTAATCCTGAAGTGGGTAAGGAAATATAGCTTATTTACCGTTATAGTTTTCACTCCCTAGATTTGATGAGGGATGCTGAAATTGTTTGGTAATTACGAATTTTGATGCTATAGTCTAACTTTGCTCCATTCTCAGTCGAGCTCTCTCTCTGCAAGCACTTATTACGTGAACGAATGGGAGCAGAAGCGGCTTCTCAGGCCTTCAACTCCGAAAAACTGGATATGGAAATGTTTGCTTCTTTGGGCCCATCAATCTTGGAGAATGATAAGCTTATAGTGAAGATTGGTGGCTGCTATTTTCCATGGGACGCAGCAGCTCCTATTATCTTAGGAGTAGTTTCATTTGGGACTGCCGAAGTATTTGAGCCCAAGGGAATGATAGCTGTTGACCGGAATGAGAAACCTGGTGATGTATTACCCCCGGCTGGTGGAAGCTGGAAGCTTTGGCCTCTCTCTCTCAGACGATCAAGGAACGATAGCGAAGCTTCTTCTAAGGACGTTGCTGAACCTGAGGAGAAGCAAGAGAAGTCGACGAGACCAGTGAAAAAGACGGTCAGGGCACTAACTCCAACTTCTGAACAATTGGCTTCGCTAAAACTGAAAGAAGGAATGAATTCCGTGACTTTTACGTTCTCCACCAATATTGTGGGTACACAACAGGTCATTTTACCTTATACGACGACATGTTCTGTCATATAACTGTCAAGAGTTCCCACTGTGCTCACAAACTCATTAATTCAACAGGTAGACGCAAGGATATACTTATGGAAATGGAATGCTCGCATAGTTGTTTCAGATGTAGATGGTACTATCACAAGGTAAACCGCTTTCTTCTATGTGTGCATGTTTTCAACAAAATCCAGGACCTGTTTCTTTTCTGATCTCCTTTCTTTTTGGTTTTTCTTTATGATTATTATAGATCGGATGTCTTAGGCCAGTTTATGCCTTTGGTTGGAGTAGATTGGTCGCAAACAGGTGTTACACATTTGTTTTCGGCTGTTAAGGTCTGTTATATGTGCCTTGCTGGTTCTTGTCTTTTTAAATGGAAGTAACGTGACCAAAAAAAAGGACTCATTTTTCTCGCCTGAGCATTTCTACAGGAAAACGGATATCAGTTGATCTTTTTAAGTGCACGCGCGATTTCTCAGGCTTCAGTGACTAGACAGTTTCTAGTTAATCTCAAGCAGGTAATTAGACTCAACGCATTTCAAAATTTTCTGAAATCGAAAATCTTAATCTTAGCCAGCAAATACTAGGACGGGAAAGCATTGCCGGATGGGCCTGTGGTTATTTCTCCTGATGGCCTCTTTCCTTCGCTGTTTCGAGAAGGTAAATTGTTTCCTCTGCAACATATCAAACATAAATCTCATGATTAGTTGATTCTTGATTCTTGAGAGATTTGTTTCTTATTATTTTTATTTTTTTTCTTGACAGTGATTAGAAGAGCACCTCATGAATTCAAGATTTCTTGCTTGGAGGTTAGTTTTATTGGGCTTATTTATCCGTTGAACTCTTCTCTCCTCTAAAACATGTTTACAGATCTCGGGTAACTCTATATCTCATGTTTTTTTCCAAATTTTACAGGAAATACGAGCATTGTTTCCTCCCGAACACAACCCATTCTATGCTGGTTTTGGAAACAGAGACACGGATGAGATAAGCTACCTTAAAGTTGGAATCCCTCGGGGAAAGATCTTCACTATTAACCCAAAGGTACTCTCATTCCTAGCATCTTGTGGTACAAACTATGCCTTATGTCTCGGGGTTGCGTTTGCTTATATTTAAAATGAAACCATGACAATTGTACGCTAGCATTTGGCATAAGGCGATTTCGTTGTGAAATATGTTGTATGAAACACTGAAAATGGTTTGTTTTTCCAAAAAGCAAAATAAAATAAACATGTAATGGCAAACGCAAAAAGGTTGGCGTTTGAAACAGATTGTTCACTTGTGAATTGCAGGGAGAAGTAGCTGTGAATCGCAGCGTGGATACAAGATCATACACCAATCTTCATGCTCTTGTCAATGGAATGTTCCCAGCTACAACAACCACTTCAGAAAGGGTATTGATCAATTATATTCCTAATTTTAGTTTGCTTTTTCGAAGTTTTTCTTGCGGATTGTGATGAACTTCTTACAAACAGGAGGACTTTAACTCATGGAATTTCTGGAAACTGCCTCCTCCCCCGGTTATGTGATGATGAATTGATGATGATGATGAAATCATGATGATAATGTGATTTGTGTCAAGAAAATGCCGGTTAGATGAATAGAGATAACATATGGTGGCTCAGTGTAGGGTATAGCATTCTTAACCGAAGTCCGCCGTAAAAAAGAAAAAAGAAAATCAAAGTCCATCTTGACTTTTTGTTTGTTTGTTCTTTTAGTGGACACAAAGTAATTTCGTCGGTTCTTTGTTTTCTTTGTCACATTGGTCTCGTTTCACAGGTTTACGATGTATGCGCAGTTATTTTATACATGTACATATAGTATTGAAATTGTTGGATAATAATCATTAGAATATTTTAATTTTTTTTTTTTGTATTCTAAATTTTATGTTACAATCTAAGTATCTATCCATTCATTATAAACGAAAAAGAATTATAAAGTAGATACACACTAGGAGTTTGATAGTGAGGATTTGTATGATTCTGTAATTGACTGTTGCATCTAAAAATTACATTCAAAGGAGGATTCTTCGAAGAAATTAATTATTCTCTGGTGTTTTCTTTGAAGCAACTCGCCAGGCTTTGAAGTGATAACCAACAGCATATTTAGGGAGAAACTTATTGAGTTTGACGATTTTGCAAAGACCATCTCTGTCCAACTAAGTTTCGATGATGTCTAGAAGCTTCATTGTCTGGAAGTTTTCTTTAGATACAACAAGGAGACTAAGGAGAACATCCACATTTATTTTATGAGAGCCAGACACCTATCTTCGCCTGATACTGCGGTTTACTCAATCCATCTTCAAAGACCTGAAGAATGCAGCTACTATACCAACAAGATCAGGAAAGAGAAGCTAGATGAGTTCAACAATGTGGTTCGAAGCTTACCTGAAGGAATCACTTTCGCCAGAGCTTGCAAAGACTATATGATTGGCCATTTCTTTTGTGAAAGCAAGGAATCTATTCCTCAGATAGAAGATTTGTTCATTCATGCCAAAGAAGGAAAAGCTGTTCGCACAAAATCGAAGACAAATGTCAATTTCTTATCTCTTCTTCTATTAAAGGTGAAAGATCTAACCATGTTCTTTGTGATTCTGGAGCTTGTCTCAACATGATGTCCAAAACAACTGCTTTCAGGCTTGGTATTAAGCATCTGCGCAGGACTAGAACAAGGATCAGCGTAGCTGATGAATCCAGTGCAACAGCAAAAGGAGTAGCTAATGACATTCCCTTGACGATTGGAGATTGCATTGTACCTGTCGATTTTTACATTGTCGAGACCAAAGATAATTCACATCCGATCATTCTTGGATGGTCTTTTCTAGCAACTGCAGAGCAATCATAGATTGGCCAAACCAGAGGATTTCCTTTGCTAATGTCAACAAGGACATCTTCTATAATGCTGTTCCGTTTAACAGCAGAGCAGGAAAACGCCCAGCAACAAAGGTGTTTGAAGCAGAACTTTAGAGAGATGAAGAACCTGCTAGACAGAACAAAGAGATTTTGAAAAAGACTGGTCTTAAGACAAGGTCTTTACTGGACTAAGCCGCATCAAAGTTAAATTTATAGAAACCTGAAGGAGGAGTACTCCAAGAAGACATTTGTTGAGGACCCCTAGAAGATGTGATTGTAATCCCATTTGAAGATACTTCTTCTTGAGTAGGCACCAACCATTTTTTGACCTCTACCATAGCTGTAGTGAAATCTGAGGACGGACTTGTATTTTTTTCTTGAAAATAAGATTATTTCTTGATTTCTAAATACATTACAACAACCATATTGGAAGTAGTTTTGATTTTCGGGATAAACTAGTAGCTGATTGAAAATCTAAAAGAGTCTTGATATTTTCTTCAGGGTCTTGAGAAGGTTGTAGTAGACACGAGATAGGTAAGTTAGCCAATCTCCAAGACATATGAGAAATGGGACATTAAAATAGGAGATGATTGATCGTTTCCTCCATCAAACCACACTGTTGGCAGGTTTGATCAATATGTATTCCCCATGTAATGAGACGAGATGAAGTTCCCAAAGCTTTGGAAAGCATTCGCCATAAGAAGTGCTTCAGTTTGGGGAAGATTTACAGTTTCTTTATTCTTTCTTTTAGATGAGGATCACCAAAGGGAGGCTGGATTGATCATTTCCAGGATCTTCAAGCTCCGGAGCCAAAAAATACCATGTTTTCACAGAATATTCTCCACCATTTGTGTATTAACAATACAGCTTATCATTTTCTGGAACTTGAGCTATAAAGATAGATTTAGTTTATATTCTATCCCCCAACTCCAAAAGTTGTAGTTGGTCATCATCCCATTTCCTCTATCCAATCGTCGTGGTGATAAAGTCTAAGACCAACAACGGATTCACTGATAAACCATTTGCTGGTCTAGGAGGATCTGCTCGTATCCAATTGTCTTGAAATACTATAATATTCTCCCCGGAACCTATATTGCGACGTATTCCTTTCTTGAAAAGCTCCAATCCCACCAGAATTGATGACCAGCCAAAGGATTGATAACAAAAAGGTTTGGCTTCCAAAATAGATTCATCTCGATAATATTTAGCTTCGAACAATCTGGCAAAGAGTGTATCAAGATACTTTAGAAGTCTCTAAGCCTGTTTGGCTAAACGTGCATCATTAAACTTCTCTAAGTCTTTGAAGTCAAACCTCCTTCTTTTTTAGACATTCGAAGCTTTTTCCAAGCAACTGATAACACCTGATTTTGACCACTTTTATGGATCACTTTCAATATCTTATGCAGATTTTTTCACTAATTTTTAAAGGTTTTATAAGTGTTTTCCATGTTTTGGAGTTTTCAAAGGTTTTTCAGGAAACATGGAGCTTTGGAGCGCATTGTGGAGCAAAAATATATTTTTGGATAAATTCAGGCCGTCAGAAGTTTAGCAGCCAAAGAAGACCTTCTCACCTTCTCCCCAAATTTGGACACATTATAGAGGAGACAACCAGTTTTCCAACACACTTGGAATCGAAGCAATCCAACGGTTAGATCTCCAGATATCATCAATGCACTGAAGACCAATCAACACAGTCCAATCAAGGACACGAGCTTTCACCGCGGCCAAGCTTGCTTCCACCGCGGCTCAGGTTGTTTCACCCCCGATGGACCTATGTCTGAACTTAAGAAGCCCAACTAAGGCCCAAGACACCTCCTGCACTCATTTTACAAGCCCTAGACGCCTAGACTTGGAGAAACACTATAAATACTCATTTTAAGTCTTTTGTAAGAGAGCCTCTTTCTTCTCTTTAAGAGAGAACTCATTTGTAGTTTTATATTTTATTTCTATGCATCTGTAGAAGCTTTTCATCTCCACACACTGTCTTCAATAAGAGTAGTTTTTCTGCAACTTTTGTTTATTTACTTTTCTGCTTTCTTGTTCTTAAACTGATGATGATGTCTAACTCAGTCATGTCTGAGTAGTCACCGAGTTAGGTGAAGGGGAAATCCAAAGGGATCCCATTTTCGACTGACATCTAGATTTTTAGGAAAAACGATTTTGACTTTTACATGATTCTCTCATTCATCCAAATCTCAAAACGGTAACTCTGGATTGATCACCAAGAGTCCGATCATAGGTTAAATCTGAGCCACGAGAGTGTTGTATCTGAGTTACCTGAACTGGATCTTAGGGACGTCACCGTCGTAGGAGACGAAGGCTACGTACGGAAGATATGTAAGCCAAGATGGATTCCGATCTGAAATGCATGAGAGCGAGAGTTAATTGCCATGAATGAGTGATTAGATGATTAAGGTGACGAGAGTTGGCTAATCTTATAAGTGTCTATCCTAGTTTCAGAGTCATAGAAAATCCTTGCCTAAATTCCTTGTGTTTTAGAACATGAACCCTAAAGATGAACCTAATCCCAACGCCGTTTTTCATATAGTTTTCAACCGATTTTTATTTCAAGCTTTTTAATTCTCTGCTTAATTAGATTTAGTGACAAACCAAAACCCCTTTTTATCAGATTAGGTCTACGATTGTTTTTAGCATAAGTTAGAAGTCATCAACACACAAATCCCTATGAATTCGATCCCTAAGTTCTAATGTGTTTGTTGCACTTGCAGTTTGTCTAGGGTAAAACTTGTGTTGCCCACTCCACCCACATCAATTTTTTAGCGCCGTTGCCGGGGATTTGTCGCTGTTGACTTCATTTCTTAATCTAATTTCAATTCTAGACCACAAGATTTTTGAGTTCCACTGGAGATTTTCTAACTTCTCTTTTTATCTTTGCTTTCTTTCCTCTCAGGTGCATGAAAACTAGAAGAAATCCTGCCAAAATTAATTGTACTGCCCCTAGACGAGATTGACAAACATGAAATAGAACTTCGGAAACTCAGACAAAGGACGCTCAAGATGGCAAATCCGAATGCCCATCGCGAAGATCTTTTTAAACTGTGATCAAGATAATAAAATTGGAGACAATGACCATGATTCTATTCATGATGATGACCGATATGCTGCCCATGAAGGAGATGGCCAGCCACAACTCGATGGAGAGGGAAACCAGATCCCTAGAAATGCTGCTCAAGCCACTGATAACTGAAGGAGACAAGACCAGGTCGACCCCGAAGAATTACAAAGGAATGATGAAAACATTGTTCCACCAAATGGTAGAGAGGCCAATCGACCCATACAGCTTGCCAATCCTGCGAGAAGACAGCCCCACAATAGACTCATTCCCGATTTCGATGCACCTCACCAACACTTCCAAAATAGATCAGCTATTCAAATTCTTACGCCAGCCAGAGGAGATCATGAGATAAAACCTCAGATTGTCTCTCTGGTAAAGCATAATCAATTCCATGGAATTTCTACTGAGCATCCAATAGACCACATTGATCTTTTTGAAGAAATATGTGGAATGGTGAGAACCACTCCAGAAACTGTGGACTATGTAAAGTGTAAGCTTTTCCCTTTCTCTCTAAGTGATAAAGCTTTTAGATGGTTAAAATCTATGCCATCTGGTTCTATTACTTCATGGGAAGAATGCAAGTCAGCTTTCCTGAACCACTTCTACACCAAGTCAAGATCGAACCAGCTGAGAAACAAGATACAAAGTTTCCAACAAGGCCCAATAGAATCATTCTATGAAGCTTGGGAGCGATTTAAAGGGTATGAGAGAGACTGCCCTCATCATGGTTTCTCTGGA